TTTTCCCTCTCTGCGCCGGGCTTTGTCGAGCCGCCATCTTGGATTTGGTGTGTGCGCGGTGTAATAGCCGAGGTTAAAGTATTAAGCAGCTTAGGAATGCCAAATGGATTAAATGTTTTGTTGACACATAGTAAAATAATCTGGTTAGCAAAGACACTTGTCCTCTCTCCCCTCTTCACTTTTCCATATTATTATTATTATTTTTTTGCTTCTGCTTTCTGCCTGACAGCCGCGGTGGAAAATCACTGAGTTTATTTCTATCTGCTTTTTGAGCTCTCACGCAGTCAAAAAATAAGTAGAAAACAGATTTGGATGTTTTAATCCTGTTTAATATTCCACGTGAGGACATCTGTCTGTTGGTCCTATGTGGCCAGGCTGGTCCTCATTTATTTTCAATAGGCTAGGCCAGTTTATATATATAGCACAGTCCATACACAATGTGCGTAGCAAAGCAAAATAGAGACAATCACACAAGGCTTTAACATCATACAAAAAAAAAACATCATACATAAAATAAAATCCTTCAGTTGTAAACACAGCTAAACGGAACTGTTTTTAACCTGGATTTGAATATTATTAGAATAAGCCCGTCTCACATTTTCAGGAAGACTGTTCAGCGCTCAGAATTGTTTCATTCTCTCCACACTCGGTGGTGACGGAAGCGAGACGCCGAACACACTGGACCATCAAAGCCTCCGACCAAACACCATCCATCACTACACTCACTACATTCATACCTACTGTGCATGTTTTTAATGGTAGGGGAAACCGGAGCACCCGGAGGAAACCTACGTAGACATGGGGAGAACATGCAAACTCCACAAATCAAGGCCCTGTTCCGACCGGGATTCGAACCCAAGACATGTGACATGCACTAACATGTCACAGATGGACTTTTACACACGCAGAGCGGCTTTCAAAACAGTTGTACATGATAGAGAGATGAGATAGATTGTGTACATATTGGCAAAACTTTATGAATCAACATTTGAACAGTTTGTTTAGCAGAAAAGAAAAGGCTACGCATGTGGAATGGGACGAGAGATTGTCAGGATTAGCAAACAATCCCATTTAGTGAAGCAAGCGGAAATCGCAATCTGCTATTGTAAGATATTAGCTTCATACAACCGCTAACAATGAATGAATAAAGGTTGTTGTATAATCATTCCTAATCATAAAAACCTAGAAATGCCTTGGTGCGTAAGATTTCCATCAGCTTTCTAAGTACCACTGTCCTTGGTCTCAGTCCGGGTGTTAGATGTGACCAGATCCCAGCCTCCGACACGTCCCCACTCCGCCACATATACCGTCTGCACATCCACCTGTGAATCCGGATTGTTCCGAGCGGACGCAAAGTAAACAGACACCTTTCCGTTCGGGAGTCTGAATGACTTCGGGACATCACTGGTATCGGGTGACGGGCGAGCGGCAGATGGGCACCCATGGGTCCGCAACAATCAACTCCGCACAAAACACACTTCATTTTGAGTGTGTGTGTGTGTAGTGTATTGGTAATGCTAGTAAGAACTACATACTGTAAGTACTAGTTAGTCTTTAATATGTAACCTACACTTTATATTATGGGTTGGAGAATTGGGACTATACCAACCATTTCTATCAAACACATTTCTATCAAACAACAGACGCCCTGTTTTGAGTAATTGTGTAAAGTATATTCTAGTTTTTTCAGCAAAAAATATCTACACGACTTCCAGAATTGTCCAGAATAGTAATGATTTCCCCCAGTTTGAGTTCATGCTATTGTTATGAACACACACACACACCCATAAATCTACACAAATGAAAACTAATAAGAAACTCGAGGAAATGATGATTTGAAGGTTTCACATACTATTTTGTGTGTTTTTCTCCTCTGTGACACATAAAAAACCCACAATTTAGTCAATTTTCACTATAGTCCAATCTTATGATAAAGTCCCATTCTTACACATTCTCACTAAAATCTTTCTTGTTTTTGCTTTCAGAACCTGCTCTACATCTGCCCCACAGAGACACACGTTTACATCTCCCCTGATGCCGACCCCACAAACACACACACACACACACACACAAACACACACACAGTAACTCAAACTCGGCCGTGAGATCGTATCGTTAGCTTTGTTCCGCGGCGCACAGGGACCGAAGAGGAGCAGGGTTGATGAGACAATGCAACGGCCGCGTAATTCACAGAGAAGGAGGAGAAAGTGGGAGATAAAGGACCACTGGAGAACAGGAGAAGCCACAGAGGTGTGTTGTTTTTTTTCTCAAGAGACGAAATATTAGACCTGAGACGTCTGGCTGCGCGTCCCCAAAGTAACGGCAAAACAAGCTTACACACACATGGAGGCCACAGATTATGTTTTTGTGTCTTGTGGGGACGCTACATCGACATATGGAAAATTTATATATAGTCAAATCTACAGTTAATTAAAGTAATACATCACATGTTTTGTGATACGTTTATTTAAAAATCTTACAACTGGGGGACCTAACAATCAAACTATAAAGAAATCTATGTAATGAAATTAACAAGATCCTTTATTTTTTTCTATTTTAGATTAACTTTGTCAGACAGAAAAGTGAAAGAAGAGCAATAACTCTTATAACTTGCTTCTTTATTTTTCTGAAGCTAGAGATTTTTATTTTATTTTAGTCTAGAGTTATTGTCCATGTATCTTGTTCTGTGTGCTCCTCATTCCTACTCTTCTGTAACTGGTGGTAATAAAGAATCTCTTAAAACTTGTGATTGTGTGTGTTCATAACGTGAAATATTACAAAAAGGCGCTTAAATGTGTATGGGTGTATTATGTGTGTGATTTATATATTTACATTCTTATCACCCCCATTATGTTTCAATTTACTGTATTTATTTATTGCGTTTTTATCCTCTATTCTAACTTTTATTTTGTATTTCTCCCCTCACCTCCTGTCCCCCCACTTTCCCCACTATGATGAAAACATAAAACTTTTCAGTCGTAAAAGAACAAAAAATGGCGCTTAAAAATGTCATTGAAAATGCCGGAGCGGTCTTACAGTTTTTTCCAACATGGTTTTACTGCAAACAGGACATAAATCCTTGAATCTTTAAAAACAGTTCCTTGTATTTTTACCTAATTAGACAAAACAAAAAGCAGAGAAAAACGGCGCGTGCAGCTGTGGCTCCAGCAGCAGACGAGTGTATACAAATAAAATCTCTCAGAACACATTATCCCATTGTGTTTTGAATAAACAGTACATTAGCATTCTCTGCTCGAGCCGCGGGACGCCTCCTCCAGCAGGAAAACTCAAAACGCTACAATCACATCAGCAATTACTGTCAAAACTTTCTCTTTCTAAACTTCTCTCTCCCTGAAATGTAAAAAGACCATGTTTTGTTGCCGTTTTGGGGATAAAAACACTCACTGAAGGTAAAACCCCATTGGACTGACTTTTGTATAGTCTGCAAAAGGGATGCTGGATTTAAAGGTAAATCTCTGAGCTTAGATATGTCCATATATGAGAGTTTGTGGAGGACTTTCGAAAGCTACGGAGAGAGACGGAAACTCGACGGTTTGATAAATGAGGAAGGGAGGGAAGCGGACGAATACCTGGATCTTACACTAATATTTGAACAATAACAGACACGGCACTGGGGGAAATTTACAGCGTTTCTCGAGACGTTATAATTTATATTAAGTGGGAGTTTAAGTGATAAGTCTAAGTGTTTGTTCAGTCTTTTTTATACAAGCTCAAAGCTACATGGGTTTAACAGTGGCTGCTTCCAAAATCATACTAAAATCATTTTGGCTTTCCTCCTTGTCCTGTTAAATGTATAATGGTCTAGCTCCAGGTTTTGTCAATTTTTCAATTGTTTAAGAATGATCTAACGCCGTTAATGCAGCAGAGACTTTAATGGATCAAACTCAAAGGATGCAACAAATATTTAATAATAAAGAAAATAAAAGCTAATCCAGAATCATGTTTGGGGTTTACAATTTCTGAAGCATATTCTAGAAAAACAGGGAAAACAAAGAATAATAATATATTATTTAACAATTGAAGAATATGTATATAATATCTATTTAAAAACATATATGACACAAAAAACAGTCCATTATATATTTGAGATTATTTCCTCGTTTTAATCTGATAATTTGATAAATTATAATATGATAATCATACCTGTAAAATTCTTAAAATAATAATAATACAATAATAATGTCCATCCATCCATTTTCTTCCCCTTAATCCATTTCTGGGTCAGGGGGGATGGCGGTCCGAGCTGCCGCCAGTACACAGAGCACCAGCCCCTCACTGATCCTCCTGCAGGTGGTGAGTCCACAGGAGCTGAGATCTTTCAGTGGGGGCTTCAGGCAAAGTGGGGTTAAGTGTCTTGTCCAAGGACACAACGACAGCAGACATCAGTGGGAGTTGGAAAGTTGGTCTAGAGGTGGGTCTGAACCCACGACCTTCAGGCTCTAAGCACATTGCTCTACCAACTGAGCTACTGTTATGATAATATAAATAGCACTACTACTACCTACTAATAATAATTTGAGTTTGCCGTTCAGGCCTCTGTTCTTATCTCTACAAACAAAGACAAGTCTCTCTTTGAATGAGAAAATAAAACAACAGTTCTTGGAATAAGACTAAATGTTTTAACACAGAATGTCTCAGTTGAAGATAAAAACACTCGATTGCAGCAGTTATTACACATATTTAATCACTTTTTTGCAGTGTAGCATAATATAGAAGCAAGTAAAAAACCTTTAACTTACTACCTCTCTCCCACACACACACAAACACACACACAAACACACACAGATGCACACACACGCACACACACAATCCCACCCTGCAGCTGCATCGCATTTATCCTCAGAAAAGCTGACGACGATTCCCTTTTAGACAAGTGCGTCCTCAGAGCTCTGACATCCACCGTGTTTTGCCATTTAATAAAAAACATTACTAAACTTAATACGGGGAGAATCCGCTCGCTCAGCACTTTCTCTGTACCGTTAATTACTGGAGTCGGAGTCCGCCGTGTGCGTCCTGCGTCTGAGGAGATGGAAGACGACTGCTTTATTAAAGTCACCTGTTTGGACCCAACACCTCTGACTATTACTGTCATTCATTAGATCTGAAAGCTACAGAAGGACCAGGACGCTTCTGTGTGCATTGCAGATATCTCTAGTTTGACTCTGGTTTCACTCTGGTTTCACTCTGTGGTCTCTGGTCTCTCTCACGCTGGTCTTTCTCAGTTTCTCTCTGACCTCTTTCTGGTCTCTCTCCGGTATCTCCTTCTCTCTGGTCCTTCCCTCTAGTCTCTCTGCTATCTCTGGTATCTCTCCGGTCTCTGTCTTTGGTCTCCCTATGCTCCTTCTCTGGTCTCTCTCTAGTCTCTCTCTGGTGTCTCGCTCTTTGGTCTCTCTGGTCTCTCTCTAGTCTCTCTCTCTGGTCTCTCTCCGGTCTCTGTCTTTGGTCTCTCTCTGCTCCCTCTAAGGTCTCTCTTTAGTCTCTCTTTCTGGTGTCTCTCTCTTTGATCTCTCTCCGGTATCTCCCTCTCTAGTCTCTCTGCGCTCTCTGATATCTCTCTCTCTCTCTAGTCTCTCTCTGGTTTCTCTCTCTGCTCTCTCTCTGGTCTCTCTTTCTGGTCTCTCTCCAGTCTCTTTCTAGTCTCTCTCTCTCTCTGGTCTCTCACATTGTGGGGTATTTCTTTGTCACTGCAGGGGGGTGATAGACAATCTTGTATATCTATTGGTTTGGGCCTAGTTTGTACAGGATCTCCTTCACACCAAAGACCTCAGTCTAAAGGAGCCCAGTTCTACGTCATGGTGCTACGTCCCTTAGGACTTCGCTAGTGGGATATCACGTGACCCCCAGGTCACAGACGCCAGAGAGATCAAAATAATTTGCTCCAATCACCAGCCACCTTCCTCTATAAATGCCCCTGCACAAGGCCGCACCCCCTCTTTCACTCTGGCGCCGTTTGAGATCTACATTCGTTACCTGAGAAAGAAAGATGTCTTCTGATGCACGTCCGAGTTCCCCTTCGCCATCCGGCGTCGGACGTCGTCGTTGCTCGACCTGTCGGGGCAAGCTCCAACGCAAGGACCAGCACTCCAGCTGCTTCATGTGCCTGGGTGCGGGCCATGCGGCGTTGAGCGCCACCTGCGCCTCGTGTGTCGCTCTCCCCAGGGAGGAGAGTGAACGCAGGCGCGCGTTCTTCGCCGCTACAGCGCCCCGTCCGGACTCCTCTAAGGACGAGGAGTCTGAGATTGACTGGGCCCCCCTCGACATTCCACCTGTGCCCGCGGAGTGGGGTGACTGCGAGGACGGAGAGGTGTCGGAGGTCGGCTCTCTCCTCACGCTGGACGAGGTGGTGTCCAACCCGGAGCCGGACCGCTTCCCGCTGGACCACATGCCTGGGCTCTACGCCACGGCGGCGGCCATCATGGATGCCCCCCTGCCACCGCAACCGAACCAGAGGGTGGAGGACTTCACCTCTGGGTACGCAGCCCCTCGAGGGAGGAGGAGAGCCCAGCCCACGTTGTGCCCGCGTATGGACCCGATCGTCCATTACGCGACACGTGAGTGGCCAAAACCCCTAGCGGCCAAGAGGCCCGCTTTGGGGTATGGCATGTACTGCAACGTGCAGGACTGGTCCTGGACAGGCGGGGTCCCGGACATCGAGGACTCGGTTCGGGCGGCCCTGCACCCCTCCTCATCCGTGTGGCCCAGCACCAGACCTCTCCTTCCCTCCGAGCGGGATAGGATGTCTCTGGCTATGCATGACAGATGTTACGCCAATGCGGCTCAGGTCGTCGCGGTGGCGAACAACATGGCTTTCATCACCGGGGCCCTGGATAGGTCTCTCTCCTCTGACCAGGCACTCAGTGGAGACACCTTAGCCCAGGCGAGGACCACTTCAGCAGCGATCTTGCGCATGTGCCAAGCGCTAGCTGTCGATGGCGGCCGCTCTATGGCAGCAGCCCAGGTCGGGGCCAGACACCTCTGGCTGGGGGCGGTGAACCTCAGAGAGGCGGAGAAGAGGCAGCTGCTGGACCTGCCCATCTCCCAGACGTCGCTCTTCGGTCCGGAGATGCAGACGCTGATGACGAGGCTGGACAGCGCGGCTAAGGACTCGGCTAGCCTAGCAAAACACCTAGCTACGAGACGCGAGGCCCGCCCACCAGCGCGGAGCCGAGACAGAGGCAGGGAGCGCTCGCCTGGCAAGCGCCCCGGACCATATCCACGCTCCGTGGTCCATCGTTCCCCAGCGGCGAGACCCCCGGGCCCAGACAGGCACACGGGAGGTTCGCGGGACCAACACACCCATCGACGGCCTCCCTACGGTAGAGGAGGTCGGGGTGGTAAAAACTCTTTCAATAAAGGCCGTCCGGCATTTCACCAGTACTCGCTGTCTGAGTCTCATTTGGGGGTATGTAACATGTCAAATGATTTGAATTCTGTTTGTGTTACTTCTCGAGCATATAACGTGGCTCCGCCAGGCCTGCAGCCCCCAGAGAAGGGCGTGCAGCGCGCTGTGCAGACCACGAGCTCCGATTCACGGGTTCATGTTTTGCCCTCCCGGAGAGAGGGCAGGCGGAGGGATCTGATAAGTGCTAATGTGTGTGCTCCGGGCGCTAGCGTGTTAGCATCTCTGAGCTACAAGGCTAACACGGGGTTTCCCAATCCAGGGGCTCTCCCCCCCCTCCATGAGGCAAGAGCCAAGGGGGGGCGCAGCAGCCGTGTCACGCGTGATGAGCAGAGCTACATTGCTAACACGGGGTTTCCTAATCCAGGGGCTCTTCCCCCCCTCCATGAGGCAAGAGCCAAGGGGGGGCGCAGCAGCCGTGTCACGCGTGATGAGCAGAGCTACAATGCTAACACGGGGTTTCCCGATGCAGGGGCTCGCCCCCCCCTCCATGAGGCAAGAGCCAGGGGGGGGCGCAGCAGCAGCCGGGTCACGTGTGGTGAGCAGTCCCGTACTTATGACGTCGGACCTGCAGAACACGTGACCGCCCTCGGCGCTCACGGTGTGACGCAGGGGCCCCCCCGGCCCTTTCAGCCACCCCCCCTCCCTGCTAGGAACACCAGGAGGGGGCGGGGCCATGACGTCTCGTGTTCCAGCTCCCGTTCCGCCCCTCACAGATTTCTACGACATCTGGAAGGAGCAGGGCTTACTGTCAGATGTTTGGCTGGAGAAAACTCTGCGCAGAGGTTACGCTCTGCAATTTTTCCGAAAGCCACCACCATTCCGAGGCGTACGGGCAGTACGCTCTCAGGTACGGGGATCGACAGAGGCACTGGAAGCAGAGGTCTCCTCCCTGCTGAGTCGAGGCGCAGCAGTGGAGGTAGACCCGCAGGACGCCACCAGGGGGCTGTACTCCCCTTACTTTCTGGTGCCAAAGAAATCAGGCGGGGTGCGTCCCATTCTGGATCTGCGCGTGTTAAACGAGTGCATTTCCAAACGGCAGTTTCGGATGCTGTCCACAAGGCAGCTCCTCGAGTGTGTCAGGGAAGGAGACTGGATGACATCCATAGACCTGACAGACGCATACTTCCACGTACCCATAGTGCCAGAACACAGGAGATTTCTGCGCTTCGCAGTGGGAGAGAGTAATTACGAGTACTGCCGTCTCCCTTTCGGGTACGCTCTCGCGCCTCGCACTTTTTCCAAATGTGTGGAAGCGGCTCTGGAGCCGATCAGACGTGCCGGGGTAAGAATATTGACCTATATAGACGATTGGTTAATACTGGCCCCATCCAGGGAAGTGGCCGTGAGCCACACGCAATGGGTCTTGTCCCACATACAGCGTCTGGGCTTTGTGGTGAAAAGGGAGAAGAGCAAGCTGCAGCCAGCCCAACGCATGATTTACCTCGGTCTGCAGCTAGACTCTGTGATATTCCGTGCTGCATTGTCCGTGGACAGACGGACGAATATTACCCGTCTGGCCCGGGAGGTTCTGGCGGGCCCCAGAGTTCCCGCTCGGCGCCTCAGGTCCCTGCTGGGGATGATGGCAGCGGCTCATGCTGTGGTGCGGCTAGGCCTGCTCCACATGAGAAATTTTCAGAGGTGGTTCTCGCGCCTCAGGCTTCACCCCTCCCGGGACGGGGGGAGGCTGATCTGGGTTCCCCAAGGGGCAGCATCGGACATCAGGTTCTGGCTCACTCCGGGTCTACTGCGGGACGGAGTGACTCTGGCCTGCGCCGTGTCTCACGCCGAGGTGTTCACGGACGCGTCGCTCGAAGGATGGGGCGGGGTCCTCGGCCAGAGCTCTGTAGGAGGCTGCTGGTCGGACTCAGCCCGTCACATCAACCTGCTGGAGATGGAGGCAGTGCACAGAGTACTGCTGCACTTTGCCCCTCAGCTGCAGGGGAGACACGTGATGGTGCGCTCAGACAACACCACAGTGGTCTCCTATCTGAACAGGCAGGGGGGCACCAGGTCCCCCGCTCTCCATCGCATGGCGACGGTGACGCTGCTGTGGGCGGCGCTTCACCTCCTGTCTCTCAGGGCGCGCCACGTCCCGGGGGTCCGGAACGTGGGAGCCGACAGGATGTCCAGGGGGGGCCCACTCCAGGACGAGTGGGGCCTGGCCCCACGGGTAGCCGCGGAGATCTGGCGGAGGTTCGGTCGTCCAGTAGTCGACCTTTTCGCCAGTGCAGAGAACGCACAGTGCCCGTCCTGGTTCGCCTTAAGGGCCGCGGACGAGCCGCCTTTAGGCGTGGACGCTCTGGCTCATTACCCATGGCCAGGCGGCCTGTTGTACGCTTTTCCACCGGTGCGTCTCCTGCCGGTCCTACTGCGGAGGATCGAACAGGAGAGGAGGTCGGTGATTCTGGTGGCTCCGGACAGCCCGCATGCCCGGTGGTTCCCCTTCCTGAGGGGCATGGCGGTGATGGAGCCCTGGGCCCTCCCGGACGAGCCGGGGGCTCTAGTCCAGGGGGCAGGAGCCCTGTTTTCACGTCCGATAATCGGCCGCAGGCTCTGGGTTTGGAGGTTGAGAGGCGGAGCCTCGTAGATCTGGGTCTTCCCCCTGCGGTGGTGGAGACAATTCAGGGAGCGAGGGCGCCGTCCACCGTGAGGGCCTACGCCACGAGGTGGAGGCTATTCAGTGCCTGGTGCGATTCCCGTTCCTGGGATCCCAGGTTTTGCCCGCTGGAGGGGGTCCTGGGATTCCTACAGGAGCTTTTCGACAAGGGGAGGGCTGTCGCTACCTTGGCGGTGTTTGCGGCAGCCATTACTTCAGGTCACGACGGGTTCGGGGGGTTCACAGCCCGCTCTCACCCGTTGATTAAACGTTTTCTGCGGGGGGCGCGCAGGAGGAGGCCCCCGCTCCAGAGAACGCCTCCGGTTTGGGACCTCAGGGTGGTCCTTAGGGGGCTGTCGGGTTCGCCTTTTGAACCGGCGGCGGAGGCGAGTCCCGATTGTATCGCTTTTAAGACGGCCCTCTTGCTGGCGTTGGCGTCTGCAAAAAGGGCGGGCGATTTGTGTGCGCTCTCAGTCCATGCGTCGTGCCTGTCCTTTGGAGAGGACGACGGCATGGTGGAGTTGTGGCCCAATCCGGCTTTTCTCCCCAAGGTCATCACGTCGGCCTTTAGGTCGAGAGTGATCAGGATTAGGGCTTTCCACCCGCCGCCGCATGCCTCCCCCGAGGAGGAGCGGCAGCACCTTCTGTGTCCTATCAGAATGCTGAGGCATTACCTGGCCATGACGTCGTCATTCAGGTCGGGTGATCAGCTGTTTGTGTGTCTGGGCCCCAAGAACAGGGGCGCCCCGCTGTCGGCTCAGCGGCTGGCGCATTGGGTCGCCACGGCGGTGCGACGGGCGTATCAGGCGCAGGGCCTGGCCCCCCCGGTGGGTTTCAGGTCGCATTCCACGCGTGGGATGGCGGCCTCTACGGCCCTTCTCAGGGGGGCGTCGGTCGAGGACGTTTGCCGTGCGGCTTCTTGGGCGTCGTCCTCCTCTTTCGTCCGGTCTTATCTTTCGGATGTGTCGGACCGGTCGGTGGCCCATTCCGTGCTGAGTGCAGCGGATTGAGTTGGACCGTTGGGTCCCTCCCCTGAGGAGTGGGCCTTCGGTCTATTTTTCCGCCCTGGTGCAGGAGCTCTTGGGAGAGGCGTCCTACAGGTGCGGTACATATATGTGTGTTTGATCGGTCTGGTAGTCTACATCAGGAGCTCTTGGGAGAGGCGTCCTGTGACTACGGTTGACCTACGATTGGTGTTACGTGGGGGCGTCCTTGGTAGGAGTGGCCCGGTAACACGCTTTGTTTCTTCTGCCCTGAGTCCTCTCACGGTGTGAGGGTCTTGCTCGGGCGGAGCTCCAATCACCCTTCGCTGGCCTGCTGGGAGTACATGTTCCTACGGCCTCCGCGTTGTGTCCCACGAGCGAAGTCCTAAGGGACGTAGCACCATGACGTAGAATTAATAGTTACCTAATGTAACTTAAGTTCTACGAATAGGTGCGTAGTCCCTTAGCTACGAGCCCATCAGGCCAGCCCGGCTTGGCAGAGTTCAAGAGGGGGTGCGGCCTTGTGCAGGGGCATTTATAGAGGAAGGTGGCTGGTGATTGGAGCAAATTATTTTGATCTCTCTGGCGTCTGTGACCTGGGGGTCACGTGATATCCCACTAGCGAAGTCCTAAGGGACTACGCACCTATTCGTAGAACTTAAGTTACATTAGGTAACTATTAATTCCCGCCATTTTCGCTGTCGGACGTTCCGGACGATAAACTCAACGTATATTTTCACACACGAGATCATCAATGTTGCCTTTATATTTCCCACATGGATCTCAAAGTTTGTTTTTTTTTATCCCAAACTGCAATCAAGCCAAGTGTATGTGCGAAAACCAGCTTTAGCAAAAACACAAAAAACCTGTTCCTACCGTTGTTGCTATCCGTGAGTGTGTGTGTGTGTGTGTGTATGTGTGTGTGTGCAATACCCAACTATAGCAAACAAAAAAACGTGTTCCTGCTGTTCATAACAAGGATATGTTGGCTACACACAATGTTATAGTCCACACAACTCGTTTCAATGCAAAAATGACTTTAGTTAAGGTGGACCAGTGAAATTTCAAATCTCAAACAGTTTTTTAGACCAAAGAAGACAGTCTAAAGTACAAGTGTGTGTGAGAACTGCAAAAAATGATAAAATATTAGGTCATTTTTGCTTGAATTGAGTGTTTTTTAATCCTAATTTAAGACCATTCTGACGGTGTTAAAACAAGATTTACCAATGGGACGAAGCAGTTTTCTTGTATCTTTTCAAAACAAGATAATTGTGTTTGTCCCATTTGCAAATCGTGTTTCAAGGCTGTCATAATGTACTAAAATTGAGACACATTTTACCAAATTCAACCAATATTTGACTTATACCTCTATCATTTTTTGCAGTGTATGTGTCAAAACCAGCGATAGCAAACACACAAAAAACTGGTTCCTACCGTTGTCGCTGTCGGACTTGTTGTCGTGCTCGGTGTCGGTGAGGGTGAGGACGGAGTTGGAGCGGCTGGAGAGGCAGGAGCTGCGCCCGGAGGTCTTGCCCAGGCCCCCGCGGCCCCACAGCCTCATGGCCCTCTCCGGGGACATGATGGCGCCGCTGTCGGGGTCCGGATCAGGACACGTGCCCACGGAGAAGCCCCGGTGAGGGAGGCCCATCTCTGAGCAGAAGGTGAGGCCGCGGCGTGGAGGAGGCTCGCAGATGCCCAGCTGATGGAGGCTGAAGTGCTGACCTGGAAGCAGCGGAATACAGAATCAGAATTGGAAGAGTAAAAATAGGATAGGTCTTCTACAGCCTCAGTCCTGGATCGACAGCCTCAGTCCTGGATCAACAGCCTCAGTCCTGGATCAACAGCCTCAGTCCTGGATCAACAGCCTCAGTCCTGGATCTACAGCCTCAGTCCTGGATCTACAGCCTCAGTCCTGGATCTACAGCCTCAGTCCTGGATCTACAGCCTCAGTCCTGGATCTACAGCCTCAGTCCTGGATCTACAGCCTCAGTCCTGGATCAACAGCCTCAGTCCTGGATCAACAGCCTCAGTCCTGGATCTACAGCCTCAGTCCTGGATCGACAGCCTCAGTCCTGGATCGACAGCCTCAGACCTGGATCAACAGCCTCAGTCCTGCATCTACAGCCTCAATCCTGGATCTACAGCCTCAGTCCTGGATCTACAGCCTCAGTCCTGGATCTACAGCCTCGGTCCTGGATCTACAGCCTCAGTCCTGGATCTACAGCCTCAGTCCTGGATCTACAGCCTCGGTCCTGGATCTACAGCCTCAGTCCTGGATCTACAGTCCTAACCCTCTGTTTTCTCCTTGCTTTGTTTTGCATTTAGCATGTCTTCTAATTGTTTTATTAGAAGACAACTCTGACACCCTTTAAGACTGCTGCTGTGATTTTAGGACATACAAAAAAAAAAGAAAAAAATTCTATTTGATATAATTTCACCAAAACTTAGACTTATACCACTACCTACTGGTCTTGAAGAATATACACAGAACAAAGCCGGCACAGATGGAAACACACTCTTTTTAATTATCTATGTGTGTTTTTAATATTCCATCCATGAGATTATCTATGTTTTGAATTCCCCGTTTACAGAAGATGCCACATTAATCAATTGCTTAACGACTCAGCAATTAGTCTCCGTATGTAAAAGGAAACACAAACGAATCTCTGAACATTGTGCCCCAGAAATTCTTCTTTCAGAGCGTCCCGACAGTAATTTGTTCCCATAAATAATTGACATTCAGAACGCCAAAAAGTGACTTGTGGGGACATGGACTTGTGACGAGTGTGCGACAAATGTATTGTTTTTGTTTTCCTTCAATGTTAATGTTCTGTATTTTATTTGTAAATGATTGTGTTCTTAATTAGTATTTTATTTTTAGGCCTTAACATCTGCCCAAGGGACGATGGATGGAAATTAGCTTAATCTAGCTAAACTCGGGCACATTAACTTTGTGTAATGTTGATTAATGCGTAATGTACCGTTTTAAATGAATAAATAAATACAAACAATTTTACACGCACAAACGCACACACATAACACACACACACATTCGCACCCACATGAACGCAAATACACACACACATGCACACACACAAACAATACTTACACACACACAAGCGCACTCACACAAACACGCAAACACACACGCACGTACACACACACACATGCACATACACGAACAACACTTACACACACGCACACACACACACACACACACGCAGACAGAAACACAAACATGCCCACACACAAACACAGCAACACACACACAGGCACACACACACAAACGCAAACACACACGCACATACACAAACAACACTTACACACACACGCACACAGACACACACAAACACACACGCAAAAACACACACATGCACACAAACACACGCACAGAATTTGAGAGAAAAACACAATTTAAAACACTCCATGATTACTTTTTAAGAGTAACTAAAATAACTAACCCAATATTCTGGTAAATTGACGTTGCTTTTTCCTTTGATCTTCAACTAATAATGAAATAAAGTGTTTTAAAAAAGCCCCAGTTAATTAACGGCACAACAATAGATAACCAGAGCTGCGTTCAATTAAAACTTGTATTAATTTTAATGAGCTTCATTAGGCGAGCAGAGAAAAGATGATTGAGTAATTACTATTTTTTCTAATTTCTCAAATATTGACTTGCTGCTAATTGGCAGCGGAGAACAATGGGCGCATTCTGACGCCGGCTGCGGATTCACAAACGCGGACAAAAATATAGAAAAATGAGTTTTTTGAGGATAAAAGGCGGAGTTGTTGGAGTACCTGGTCTGGTGTAGTCGTCGTGGTCATGGCGCACCATCTCCTTGTGTCCTTTGGTCGTTCCGTACAGAAGCCTGGTGCATCACGGAGGAAAAGCAAAATACTTTAATACTTTTTTGTTTTGTTTTCTTTTTCATTTAAAAATTCAAGAAAATGTTGCAAAAAAATGAGAATGACGGAGAGAATAAGGAAGATAATAGCAATAAAGTACAATAAATAAAAAATGAAAAAATAACAAAAATAAAATAAATACATAAGAAACTAAAGTAAAAATACAGAAACTAAAAAAAGAAAAAAAAAAGAAAAAAGAAAAAAAGAAAGTAAAGTTAAACAAAATAAGAAACTGAAAAAAATGAATCCAAATAAATTAAAACATTAAAATAAAAAAATAAAAATGCTCCCTTTTTAAGTACATTTAGATGAAAACACCCCAAATACAATAACTTTGATACAAAATGGAAGCCAAACCAAGCCCCGGTGATCCAAGATGACGCCCTATTCAAATGAGTGGCTTGTGCTCAGTAGCGCATGGGACTTCACGACATATGGGACATATCAGAGGAACTCGGCTATATTTGGGCAACGTCTGGTCCTCCCGGTTCTGCGCGGTGGATGAGCTCCCATGATGCATTGCGCCAAACACGGATGTATGGCTCTCATGCACGTGCACAGAGGGGCTCGGCCGCGCTTTGACCAATCAGAGCTGTTCATCAGAGCAGCAGCAGAGCGGAGTCAGAGCGGGAAGGAAAGGAGCAGAGTTTGTGTCAGTAAAGTGTGGATTTAAAGAAAACCAAAGGATTTAAAGCTTTAGGTTCTCTGTCGGCTGAGGTCGAGCTGTTTTAGTTTACATTGAGTTCTATGGGACTTTTTTATGGGTAGCCCGCATGAATCTAGTCTACAAGATAAAGTAATGTTGGAACGGCAATAGATTTGGTCGTCACATCGACACAAACATACGATAGAATAGAATTAAATGCAACTGAAAAAGGAAGAGGCAGAAACAAAACGTCTTCACAGCCCAAAGTGTCCCTCGTCTTCTAACACCGAGATCATAAATACATTAGATTTAAACCTAACCACAACAATGATAATACAAAAATAAGATTAACAGTTGTATATGTTTGATTTAAAAATATAAATAAAAGAATTGGTTAAAAAGAAATCAGACATGTACCCAGATAATGTAAATACTGCTCTCAATCTGAGGCTTGTTCCCTTTTGTAGGAACAAATCACTGGAGAATCACTGGGTTCAAACTGTCTGATTTGATCTTGTCTGTCTGTGTCTGCTGCACCTTCATATTGTCCGTCTGTGTCTGGTTTGTATTTATTCATGTGTGATCTGTTGTGCGAGGTTTACATTTTTTTGTGTGTCTGTTTTCTTGGAACCTGCCTTGAGACTATGGCTGAAATTTAGCAGTTATGCTAAGGCCCTGTTTATACGGAGGTTGCCAAGCTATTAACAGAAATGGCCAGGCTCCTAATGCAAATTTCACAGCGTTCATACGAGGATCAAAAACAATGTAGTTCTAGCGCCCGGACAGTAGTGGGCAGAGGAACTTTACAACACGATAGACGCGACCCCCAGCACCCCCCTCCCCCAGCAGTTTACTCACTTCGACTCACTTCGACACACGTGAAAGATGCACCAACATCATTCTGCATTTAACAGCAGCTGCGAGAACGGAAACTGAACCTAGAGCTTCGCGTGGTTTCGTTTGGACGAATGAAGGAGTAGAATCCTCCTCCATGTAGCGCTCAAAGCACACGTAGCTAGTTAGTTTGTTCTCAGCTACTGCGCATGTCCAAATGTGCGGGGAGCAGTGGGAAGGTGGGGGTCAGATCAGGCAAAGAATTCACACCTTTTTCTGTCACGCAGGTGTGAAAGAGCGCCCCCCGCTGAGCAGCGTATCTGAGCTGTCCCACTCTGAGGCCCTGTTTATACTGAGACGCTGCGCAGACATTTCCAGGCTATTAACAGAAACGACCTGTCTCCTAATGCAAATTTCTCAGCGTTCACAAGAGGTTGAAAAACGATGTAGTTCTAGCGCCCGGCCAGTAGTGGGCAGAGAAACTTTACAACACTCACACGACCCCCAGCCCCGTGCCCAGCCCCCCCCCTCGGCAGTGTACTCACTTCCTGTGCCAGACCCTCAACGTACCAACATCATTCTGCATTTTAACATGGAAACTGAACCTAGAGCTTCGCGTGGTCTCGTTTGGACGAACGAAGGAGTAGAATTATCCTCTGTTCCGCGCTGGAAGCCCACGAAGCTAGTTTGTGTGCGCGGCGCCATTTTTGTTTTTGTTTGTTCTCCGCTACTGTGCATGTCCAAATTTACGTGCGGGGAGCAGCGCGGAGGCGGGGGTCAGAGCAGAGGGGGATTTCACACCTTTTCCCCTCTCGCGGGTGTGAAAGAGCTCCCTGCTGTGCAGCGTATCTGAGTTGTCCCACTCTGCAGGCTGGATCTGAACACTTACGTTTTCACCTGGAACACAGTCTCCGTATGAACGGGGAGTAGTAACCGACATCCAACTATAGCGTTTTACTGCTGCAGCGTCTCCGTCTAAACGGGGCCTAAGTCTGGCACATTTACATTGACGCTAAAGGCATCATTGTTGATGAATGTGCAGTGTCTCAACTCAATAAATAAATGTAAAGAAATATATCTGTATGGGTATTTAGTTGTATCAAGTGTATAAAGGTATATATCATTTATGTGTGTCTGCAGGTGTGTGTCAGTGAGACCTGGTCTGGTCCTGGTGCTGGTCGAAGGCCTTCAGAGTCTCACTGGACGAGTAGGACTTCTGAGTAGGGACTCGCAGTCCCTGAGAGCCCAGAACACAGTCCCCACTGTCTCCAGAGGAACCTGAAAACAAGAACATGTGTGTGTTTACAAAGCAGAAGGATGTGGGATCTGGTGTTGCTGCCAAACCAGTCTGACCACCGGGCTCCGGTGTACATGACAGCACTACCGCTACCAGCCAACAGGGGGCAGGAAGTCATAAAAGAGAAATCATACACAATATTCTTCCCCATCATTATCATGGGTTTGGGAGAAAATAGAAAGAGAGCGGAGAGAGCAGAAAGAGACCAAAGAGAGATCAGAGAGAGAGACAAGAGAAAGTGAGACAAGAGAGACAGACCAGAGAGAGAGACCATAAAGAGAGACCAGAGAGACAAGAGGAGAGACCAGAAAGAATGAGACAAGAGAGACAGACCAGAGAGAAAGGGAGACCATAAAGAGAGATCAGAGAGAGACCAGAGAGCGAGACAAGAGAGACGGACCAGAGAGAGAGACCAGAGAAAGACCAGAGCGAGAGACCAGAGAGAGACCAGAGAGAGACCAGAGTGAAAGACCAGAGTGAGACACAAACATGAGTCATGCTCCACCACAGACTTAAAAACATTTCTTTATATAGATATATATAAAAAAATAAAAAAAATAACAACAGTTATGAATCTCTTCAGTCTTGACTTTGAGTTAATCGACTTGTCAATCGTCAAAAGTACTTTGCGTCCAGGAATAGAGCAGTGTTTTTCTCGTGTAAAGTTGATACATCAGTGAATCATCCATGAGAAATATCAGCAGAAATAAGTAAGAAACATCTATATATGTAAAGGTTTAACACATCTGTCTTCTACTGTGACTGATTGGGTTTATTTCATTACACCTGATGGAAACATACATTTGGGGGATGTAGGCAGAGGCTTCTTGACCTATCACGGCCGGACATGAACCGCAAGGCATTCTGGGAAATGCAAAAAAAAAGAAAAGAAAAGAAAAGAAAAAAACACAAACAACATGCGTCCGTGAGAGGAATCGTATGTGCGGCGGCAGAGACAGTGGGCAGGGACACGCGCAGCCAGAGTACGAACACTGACACTCGAAAACGGCCAAAACAGGCGCTAAACCAGGACTAAACCAGGATTAAACTAGGGCTGACAATGGGGGACACTGTGCTTGGGAACATATGCCTCCTCCAAATGAGTTCTCATTACCCCGTGACTGTAAAAACAAGGGATGCTAACATATTAGCCGACACAAGAAATTTATTTTTACCTCGTGCACCTGATGCACGTCTCCAAGATCATATTTAATGAGCACATATGTTACATGTTTGTACAAAACTGTGATATGGAGGATAGTCCACAATAGCATCTGAAATTGTTTTGGTATTGAGCTCACTGTGAGCTCCTCACCCCCTCCCTCCTAGAAATAAGAAATTATCCAATAATAATATTTTGCTTAAATCTGACCTTTTCATTAGAAGAAAATTGCTTAAATAAAAAAAAAAATTCTTGTTTTTTTTTCCCATTATACGTTAGGAAAACAATCTTAAGACAAGAATTCTAGACAAGGAAAAAAGTCTTACCCCATTGGCAGATTTTTTTGCTTAATATAAGCAGAATTGTCCTCTTTTGAGGTTTTTTTGTCTTGTTTCTTGCAAGGGACTTTTTGCAGTGTTTAAGCACCAGATTTTTCTCCTAAAACGCTACATTTTGACATCTTAATTTCAGATAAAGCCTCTATCTGTTTTTTTCTCTGTAAATATAGAAACATTAAAGATGCCCCAAAGTTTGTGTAGGGATTAAATTGACCCATCTAATTTGCATATTATGACGTCATACGGCAGAGGCAACTATGGATTTTTTTTAATTTTCATGAAATGGATTTTTTTAACTGACGGACATGAAAATTACTAGAACCTGAACTCACAAACACAACTCACAGGGAAATAGTTAAAAAGTGAAAATAATTACTTTTAAACAGAACCGCATCTTGGCCTCTGGAGGGTTAAGGGTTTTCTGTTTTTCACTCTTGTCAAAGCTGAGCGGGAAGAAGTCACTCTTATGGGCCGCGGACCGGTGGTTGGCAACCCCTGGTATAAACCCTAAGCCCTTTTTCCACTCCATTTCAAGCATCGTGACAAGAAAAAAATGAGTAAGTAAGACATAAATGTTGTATATAAGATTGTGCATGAATGTAAATGTGAACAAACTAGTAAAATACTCTGTGATAAGCTTGAATAAACTAATACAAAGTAAACTGGAGTGAACTACTGGAGGTTGAATTTTTTCATTTGAGATTTTTAACCATGAAATTCAACGTCAATTAAAATTCAGACACTGAAAAATCTCCTATACCCCTCCCCCTCTCCTCCCCCTCTCCTCCCCCTCTCCTCCCCCTCTCCTCCCCCTCTCCTCCCCTCCCCCTCTCCTCCCCCTCTCCTCCCCCTCTCCTCCCCCTCTCCTCCTCCTCTCCTCCTCTCACCAGTGTAGGGCCCGTCCTTGTCCTTGCGGCTCTTGGTGAGAGAGCAGTAGGGCCGTCGCTCCTTCACTTCCATGATGCTGCGGCTGGTGCTTCGGCTGAACATAGGGGCATACTGCGGGGCCACATGCACAGAGACCGGCCCCCAGGGATGGAGAGGTAGAGACCAGAGAGGCTGAGGCAGAGACCAGCCCCCAGGGATGGATGGAGAGGCTGGGGCAGAGACACACCTGGGGAGACACAAAAAAAAAGCTATTATAAATACTCAAACTCTTTAGGACTACTTATAGTTGTTCTAACCCCACGTACGGAGGACTAGGACTGAAGCTCAAGCATTCCAAGGGACCCTCAGGCGTCTCAAAGCGACAGAACCAGAATCCTGGATCTATCTCGAGGGCGACAGTAGCTCAGTTGGTAGAGCATTGGCCTTTGAGCCAGAGGGTCGTGGGTTCGAACCTGACCTTCACCATCAACTCCCACTGTCAGCTGTCTGGTGTGTGTGTGAATGGTTGGTGGTGGTCGGAGGGGCCGATGGCGCATACTGGTTGCCTTGCTTCTGCCAGTGTGCCCCAGGGCAGCTGTGGCTACAGTAGTAGTTTATCACCACCGTGTATGGATTGAAAGAATAATGACATGTGAAGCGTCTTTGAGTGTCCAGAAAAGCGCTGTATAAAACCGATGCATTATTATTATTTTAATAACTGGATAGAGTGTTACTAACTCATAGCTGTCCCACCCATGGGCACAGGGGGCGCCAGTGGTACTACATTCAGGTTACCCAGAAAAATGTCCCCATAGAACTCAATGTAAACTAAAACAGCTTGCCCTCAGCTGACAACCTGACAGAGAACCTACAGCTTTCATAAAGGTCGGATTTTGCGGGGATGTTAGTGTCCCCCGTCATCCTGAACTTTTTTTCTTCTAAATCCTTCGTTTTTTTCTAAATCCACACTTTACTGCCAAAAACTCTTCTCATTTGGCTCCCGGTCTAACTTCGCTCTGATCAGCAGCTCTGATTGGTCAGAACACTGCCCCTCTGTGCACGTGCACGAGAGCCACACACGTCATTGTAAGTATTTGGCACAATGCATCATGGGAGCTCGTCCACTGCGCAGAACAAGGAGGACCAGAGAAATGCCCAAATAAGGGAGAGTTCGGCTAATCTTTCCTCTATTCAGTATATCCTCATGTTGTCCGTCATGTGTCATAAATAAAGTAGAAAAATATGAAATTGCTCAGACGACCTGTTTACAACATCTTGGTGTAAATTTCCCCATTTTCTGTGTGTGACTTTCCGTGTTTTTTGTCGTAATGTCAGGGCTCTGTAAACTGAACTATAATTGTGGTTCTTGCAGTTCAGTGTGTTGCTGTTATTGTCCAGAGCAGGTGTGAGGCAGTGGGCGTGGCTTCTCCAGGTTGGATGGAATCAACAACTTCTGTCAGGATTTCAAGGTCTTTTCCCATCTTCTCTGTCAGATAATCATGTTCACAGTCTGTCGTGCTGCTCTGCTCTGGCTATTTCTGTATTTAAGTGTTTTTTTATGTACAGAGAATAGTGATGTAAAGTTCGATTCATTTTACTGACTCGAGTTAAAGTGAATCACTCACCAAAGTGAATCGGGTGTTTTGAGTCATTTGATTCAGTGATTCAGTTGTTCAGAAAAAAACATACATGAACACAAAATAATGCTAAAATGGCAATTTACAATCAAAACATGTATTAAAATTTGATAAATGGTAACAATAACAAATATGTAAACTAATTTGACAAAATATAAACTCTTTAAATTTAACAATTCAACAGTAAAATTGTGAACAAAACCTTAAACAACCTTGCAGAGTTGACATTTTGCTCGTGATGGGCCTGTTATTTCAAAGTGCATCCAAATATCGCTTCTTCTGCGGCTACTATCCATTTTCTATAAAAATATTTAAAACTTTCCGCCAAAAATGTGGTGTTACATAAATGTATTCCGTGTTAAAACCTACATTCCTGGTAAAAAAAAAAATAACAATTATATTATATAAATAATAAATACAAACAACTTTGATATTTTTCACACATTCATTTTTTATTGATGACAATCATTGTAACGCCAATAATGTTCGAGGCGGAACTCCTGTTGTCCGACGAGAGAAACACAGCTGAACAAATAACTTAATAAATAGCCAATTATATTTTTCAATCTACCTCACATAATACATGTAGGGTTATTATTTTTTGTCAGATGGGGCAAAAGAAACTACTTTTTCCAACCCAGTTAGAGAACGAGAGTTACGAGACGAGTCGGTGTCCTGTCCTGTTGTTTCGACTCGCTTGATGCTGAGTTAGTGAGTGAGTCAGATCAGATGAACGATTCGTTCAGAGCTGAACGACTCGAAGGGGAGCGGGAAGGGGCTGATCCAGAACCACAGTGAGTCGTTCACTGCTCGTACGGCTCGTACTAGCAGGCGCGGGCAGGCAGGAAGGAGGACGTTACGGTGAAGTAGATGGTTGTAAACAATAAGCTTTTGGTTTCTGTGCTCAAACGAGCTACAGTACACACACACACAGTCACACACGTACTATTAGAGTGTCATTCATTGTGGCTAGTAGAAAACGCAGTCTGGGGGTCGCAGTTTAGAAAGTGGTGGGCGGACGAGTTGGTGAACGAGTTAATGGAGGCGGGGAATCACGACTCCCGAGTCAGTAAAGTGAATCTCGAGTTTTGAACGATTCGTTCACGAATCGCACATCAATAACAGAGAAGGAGAGCTCAGAGAGAGAAAGAAGAGAGACCGGAGAGAGAGACCAGAGACCTGAGAGATGACAGAGAGAGAGAGACACCAGATAAAGACCAGAATGGGACCAGAAAGAGACCAGAGAGAAACCAGAGAGAGGGAGAGAGAGAGAGAGCAGAGACCTGAGAGAGACCAGAGAGAGAGCAGAGACCTGAGAGAGACCAGAGATAGATAAGATACAGACCAGACAGGGAGACCAGAGTGAGAGCGAGAGAGAGAGACCAGAGAGAGAGAGGGAGAGAGAGAGACAAGAGAGAGAGTTAAGATACAGACCAGACCTGGAGACCAGAGAGAGAGAGAGACCAGAGGGAGACCAGAGAGAGAGACCAGAGAGACCAGATTCCTAAGAAGAGACCAGAGAGAGAGAGAGACCAGAGAGAGAGACCCGGGACCTAAGAGAGAGACCAGAGACCTAAGAAGAGACCAGAGAGAGAGAGACCAGAGAGAGAGAGAGACCAGAGACCTAGGAGAGAGACCAGAGAGAGAGAGACCAGAGAGAGAGAGAGACCAGAGACCTAGGAGAGAGACCAGGGAGAGAGATAAGATACAGACCAGACAGAGATACCAGAGAGAGACCAGATATATATATATTATATACTTAAACCAAATAAAGCCAAAATACTAAAACCATTCCAGTCTGCTCTATGGTCACTGCCCCGTCCCAGAGAGAGACTTCCCCTTTAACTCTGCGAACACACGGCAGACAACATTCCTCACCTTATCTGCTCCAGACACCATCCAGATTATTCATTTACTTTTTCCACCTGGACAAACGCAGCACCTGCTGATTTATCCCAGAGAGAGAGACATCAGAACATCTAAGAGCTCAGAGGGTGTGATTTAGGCCTCTGCTTCCAGCTCCTTTCTCTTCCTCTCTCTCACTAAACATAATAAATACACAGGAATACGCAATAATGTGTGATTCACGCAGTGTTATTCTGAGGTCCCTGAGAGTTTATTTTGGGGCCACAGAAAAAAAAACTATTAAAGTAGAAAGTAGATCGTCCAACGTGGAGAGGAGGGTTAGAGGTGAGGGTTAAGGGTATGGTTCAATATATGGTAATAGGTACGACTATAGACTCTGAGGAGCACTGGGACTGGCCTCCTGCTGGGACTCTGAGGAGCACTAGGACTGGCCTCCTGCTGGGACTCTGAGGAGCACTGGGACTGGCCTCCTGCTGGGACTCTGAGGAGCACAGGGACTGGTCTCCTGCTGGGACTCTGAGGAGCACAGGGACGGGCCTCTATCTTGTCTCTCTCCCTCTATCTCTGGTCTCTCTCTCTTGTCTCTCTCTCTCTCTCTCTCTGGTCTCTCTCTCTTGTCTCTCTCTCTTGTTTGTCTCTCTGGCCTCCCTCTGACCTCTCTCTGGTCTCTCTCTCTGGTCTCTCTGTCTGGTCTCTCTGTCTGGTCTCTCTGTCTGGTCTCTCTCTCTCTGGTCTCTCTGTCTGGTCTCTCTGTCTGGTCTCTCTCTCTCTGGTCTCTCTGTCTGGTCTCTCTGTCTGGTCTCTCTCTCTCTGGTCTCTCTCTGGCCTCTCTCTGGTCTTTCTCTGGTCTCTCTTGTCTGTCTCTCTGGTCTCTCTCTGGTCTATCTACTCTCTCTGGTCTCTCTGGTCTCTCTCTGGTCATTACCCAAAACCCATAACCAGAGGTGAGGGAGGAAACCAAGATGGACCGACATATCAAGAGTTTAGCCTTCCGACTCCGCTCTGTAAATAAAAACATGTGTCTGTTTATCCGTCTGGAGTCAAGTGTAATTATATGGGGACACCTGGCAACACAAACACAAAATGGCCCTTACGCTGTCTCTATGCTATAGCTACAGTACATCCGCTGCTAATGAGGACATGCATCAGCCACTGGTCCATGCTGACCACACTCCGTCCTCCAGCCAAAGAGGCAGAAGCGAAAAAGCCAGAGAAATGAGCAAACGTAAACATTATTCTCCAAATATTCCCATCTTTAAATCCTCTAATAGACCTGTGCATAATGATACAGAGCCATACGGAGGCAGAAAGAGCCTTGACATGTGGACAGGCCGCAGTATTTTCACCTCATTATAACCGTTGTAAAAAAAAAAAAAAAAAAAAAGAGAAAGAGAAAGAAAAAGCAGGGCGGATTTCTACACGGCTCCAAATCACCTTATTATTCCTGAAGGGTTTTAAAAAGGTACATTAGGGAAGAGTTCTGGGGGAGGTGCCAACGGTTCGTCTAAGATATTGCAGGTTTTTGGCATAAAACGCTTACTTTTATTCAACAGGATGAGTTTATTGCAAAAATAAATGTTAGGGGGAAACTGGTTATGACGAAGAGATAGAATAAACGGC